GCCCGGGGGCCCGCCAGCCTGGTCCCGGGAAGAGGGGGAGGGCTGGGGGGCATCGGGTGGGTGGCTCAATCCGTGCCAGGTGCAGGGTCTGCTGCCTGGGTGCTGGCAGGCTTGCACCTGGCACGGGCACCGTAGCCAGCCCGTGCCCCTTTAAGGGGTCCGGGGCCGGGAGGGGGGCAGACGAGTTTCCCTGGTGTTGGCCAGAGTGGCCACCAGGGAAACCTGGGGAGGGCTAGCCTCCCACTAATTCGAATTAAGGGGCTACACACCCCTTAATTCGAACTAGCTAGTTCGAACTAGGCTTAATCCTCGTAAAATGAGGTTTTCCTAGTTCAAACTAAGTGCTCCGCTAGTTCGAATTAAATTTGAACTAGCGGAGCGCTAGTGTAGCGCCTATTAAAGTTAGTTCGAACTAACGTCTGTTAGTTCGAACTAACTTTGTAGTGTAGACATACCCATAGGGATGTAAAACCCAGTCAAATCAGTTAACTGGTAAAATGTTATGTTTAACCGATAAACTGCTTAACCGGCATGCTAGGCCTGCCATGGTTAACCTCACTGGGTGATGCTCACCAGTTAATCATTCACATCCTTAAATCATAGCAGTGCTTTTATTGGATTCAGAGGGAGCGCATGGGACTCACAGCATGCACCTCACTTCAGATGCCCTGGCTTTACATGTGTGTCACTTTAGTAATACCAGTAGGAAAAAACACATGTGAGTAACCAGCGGAATACAGTAATCCTGTGCAAGAGCAATGGTAAACAAAATGTCTTGCAGGCCACACGTAGAACCCTGCAAATATTTGTTTGAAAACAGCATCTGTGGAGTTTCTGATATTTATCTGAACGCTTAAAGAGAATACAGGCGGCCCCCGACTTGCAACATGATCAGTTCCTGGGGAAGCATCGCAAGTTGGGGGCATCATAAATCGAACTCACATTTACGATAGGCGCCATGCACCGTCATAAATACGGGCCGAGGACATAAGTTGAGGGGTTTCGGCCCCTTCCGCACTTACAAAAATGGTGGTAAGTGTGGGGGGTTGCAACTTGGGCCGTCGTAACGTGAGGCTTTCCTATATCAGAAATATTTTGATTACACGCTGTTACAAGAGTTCATTCTCTTTTTAAAATGTTTTAGTATGAAAGCATAATTAATAATAAAAAACCCACATTAACCTGAAAGCTCAATGTAGTTTTGGATTCTAAATGTAACTTGCTGCCTGAATGCTTAGCGTAGGCAAAATACTATCATAGATGCACATAAATGGAATTTAGTTTAGCACTTGGATATTTTTAGCTTAACTCCAGCCAACACTCAGAAGACTATGGGTATGAGAGAGTAGAATCCACATCATATGAAAAAATATTTAAGGGACGAGAAGTTTGTGTCTCCTTTCCCCCCAAAGCACACCACAAGTAAAATTAAAGCTCTGATATGTAATCCAACATTCTTATTAAAAAGAGAGAAGAAAGAATAGAACTTATGACTGTTTCCCCCTCATCCCTATTTTAAAAAGTTAAAAATAATCATCAGAAGACATACGCTTCAATTAGCTTTTCTTCTATGGCTTGGTCAGGAATGCTTTCTTCACCTGCAAATCAACAGTATTTTTAAAGTTAATTAGATTGAAAAAAATTTCTGTTTACACAGAATATGTGAAAGCTCAGTTGAACAGATTTCTGAAAGCCTTTATTACAGTTTTAACTTTGTGATGATATTGAAAAGGGTCTAATGTGAAATTCAAAAAAAGTCGCACCACTGGCATAGGATTATAACTGTGCAACCAAAGAAGTTAGATTTTCAGAGCAAGAACAAGGTATTTGATATAAAAATTTGAAGAAGCAACTTGTTTGTAAACAAAAACTAAAATATTTACACGTACTAATAGTTTCTCATCTTTTATTACTTTACTATTACAATATCAGACAGGGGAGTGGGGACAGAGTTCTGTAGCTGGAGAGCAGGGTGCCAGTAGAGGCAGAGAGTCCCCTGCATCTGCCTCCTCCCAGGATTCCCCCCTTCAAGAAGGAAACTAGTGCATGCCTGCCCCGGGACCGACCCCCCATCCCCGCGCACGCACGCCTGCCTTGGGGCCGAACCCTCCCTCCCCGCGCTGGGAAGCCCCGCATGTGCACCGGCGCAGGGGGCTGACCCCTCCAGTGCAGGCAAGCCCCGCGCACGCTTGCCCCGGCGCCAACTCCCGCGCCCCAGCACAGGGAAGCCCTGCATGCACCTGCCCCGGGGCTGTCTCACCACTCCTGCGCGGTGCAGGGAGCCAATGCTCCCTCCCGCAGTACACCCAGCAGAGCAACTAGCGCACTTTCAGAATCGCTGGAAGTGGCGCTAAGCGGCAGGACTTCTGTTCACCTCCGGGAAGCTGGCACTACCTCCATTTTCACTTGAGGTAGGTAGTGGGGCTTCTCGGCGGTGAGAGGGAAACAGGGGCGGGGTGGACAGGACGCCTCGCGATCGACTGGTCGAGACCCTGGTCACCAACAGGTCGCATTAGAACATAAGCTTTTGTGGATAAAAACTATTTTGTCAGATGCACAGAGTGGAATTCACATAGGTAGCTATATATGTGCTAGCTAATCAAAAAGAGTAAGTTACTTCTCAAGTATAGGACCATTATTAACAATGTCTATTCAATCTGGGTGGATGTGGCTCACTCCCAGCAGTTGATGGGGAAAGGGAAAATTGTCTTTGTAGTGAGATAGCTATTTTAAGTCCTTATTCAGTTCTAATGCGATCATGTTAAAGTCCTTATTCAGTTCTAATGCGATCATGTTAAATTTGCAAATGAATCACATATGCTCCAGTCCCTCAGACAGAGATAAACACCTACAAGCATTTTTTAAACTAAAACAACCACTTGGGAAAGTGAAGAAAAAGATTGACAGAACCAGAGGAATACTCAGAAGTCACCTACCACAGGACAGGCCAAACAGCAAAACAACAGAATACCACTGGCTATCACCAACTGGCTATCATCTCAGATACACTCATCCAGGAACTAGAGATGTGAACGACTAGCCGACAAGCAAACACTTATCGGATAGTTGACATGCTAGTCAACTAGTCACTCCTCCCCCCCCCCCAACCTGGCTGCCTCTATCAGAAAGAAGCAGGGGATAGCGGGGAGAAGAGGGGTGCTTCAAAGCAGTAGTGCCACATGGAGCCTAGGGCCAGACCCCAGGCTCCATGCGGCGCTGCCTCTTTGAAATGCTGCATGCAGCTTGAGGCCAGTCTGGGGACTGATTAAGTTCCCTTCTGGCCCCGTGCTCCCTACAGCGCTTTTACCTTTGAAGTGTAGCAACAGCTCTGGGGAAAAGGCGAAAGCTATTCAATTAGCCAATTCATCGAAATATTACTTCCTTACTAGGAACCTACTCAACACACCCCATTGCCAACTTTGTCCATATATCTAACCACGTCAACCATAATATCAGGGCCTCATCCACCTGCATATCTACTAATACACCATCATATGCAGCAATGCCCTCTACCATGTATATTGGCCAAACTGGACAATCTCTGCATCAAAGGATAAAGAGACACAAATCAGACATCAAGAAAGGTATCATACAAAAAACAATAGAAGAACACTTTAACCTCCCTGGACATTCAATAGCTAGGGAAGTAAAACATTGGTTAAAAATGTAACTATGTGGCTGCTAAAAATCTTAGTAGTTACACCTACTGCGGGCTTTCAAGTGCCAAGCTTAAATAAGCTTTATACAGCGAAAACTCCTCAGGAGCTGGGCTGGTAGGGGCTGCTGGCTTCATTCCCACAGAGGCTTTGCTGCTGGCTGCTGGGCAGAGTTTAATGGAAAACATTAACTGATGCTTATTGGTTTGCCAGTTAAACTCTAACATCCCTATCAGTAACTGAATTTAAAAGTAGCTATCCTTCCACCCTTCCTGAATTGGCCTACACTGGTCCTACACTTGATAAGTAACTCCCTTCTTTTGATATATATGTACTAGCATATCTCCCTACCTCTGTGATTTCCACTCCATGAATCTGACAAAGTGGTTTTTTACTCATGAAAGCTTATACCCTAATATATCTGTTAGTCCTTAAGGTGCCACAGGACTCCTCCTTGTTTTTAAAGAAAAAAAGGTTTAAATATGAATGAAGCCAGGAAAGTGATATAAAACAGAAAGTGACAGAAGAATTCATTTGGCTCCATCATCACTGCAAAGCTAATGGACAGGAATCAAAGAAAGCAAAACAAAGAGACTAACCTGCATGAAATGTTGTATTATATTCCATTAGTTGCTGTTTTATTTGTTCTCTTAGTCTAGAAGAGGAAAGAGAGAAGTTAAAAAATATTTACATTTAAAACCTTAAAAAAAATTAATCCAAGGCTCTAGACACCAACACATCATATATTCAATAAAAACCCAAACACTCAAAAGGAAGTCAGACATTTTAAAAAAACCTCCTTTCCACACATTTGTTATTGTGGGAAGTATACTTTCAGCCCTCTTCAAAAAACACTATTAAAAGTGTATTTTGCAGCATACCCAGCAAAACATGTGCAAGTTCCGGAGTTTTTTTTTGTTTTTTTAACAGCATTGGTTATTCTAAAGCAGGGATGGGGTATACACAGCCTGTGGCTTGCCTTGATACAGCCTGCAAGGCTCTGGGCTCCTCCATCATGCAGCAGAGGGAGATGATGCTGGCGCTTTTGCCATGTGAAGGGCTGCCAAGGTTCAGTGCCCTCCCCCATGGCTGCAGCGCCAACACAAGATCTCCAGTGCTGGGGGGAGCCCCAAACCTCGTGGGCTGGATGAAGGCAAGCTGCTGCTACATCTAGCCTGCGGGCTCTGCACCAGGTACAGTAGCACAGAGCTGTTCTATCCCCTGTGCTGCTTACAAGTTCTATGCCCATTGCTCCCATTGGCCAGGAATTCTGGCCAATGGGAATGCTAAGAAGTAGTACCAGCAGCACACCTTGAGAGCTGCACTAGGTAGGTGCCTCCATTCCCTGTCTCCTCCCTCCCACTCGAACGCTGCACTCCCAATCGCCTCCTGTACCCTTCCTTCCTCCCAGACTCCGCACCCCAAGCTGCCTCCCTCACCCTCTCTCAGCTAGGGATGTTAAATATCGGTTAATTGAATAGTCAACCTCATGAATTCTTATTGATTACTCAACTATCCTATAGTCCCTGGGGGTGAGGCCGGCAGCTAGTGCGCTCTGGCCGTACTCCCGAGGCGCCCCCTGCCACTCCATGCTGCTGCTTCTGTATCAGCAGAGAGAACTTGCCTGTGAGGGGACCCAGTTTAAAAGCTAGCTCCCTTCGTGGAGTGGCTGCCTGTTACCCACGTTGCTGCCTCTGATAGAGAGGCAGCAGTGCGGAGTGGCAGCAGCCCATCTGAGGAGGGGTCGTAGCTTCTGGACCAGGTGCAAGTCAGAACTGACCCAGGCTGCTGCCTGCCTGGCTCCCAACATATTTTAAATGCAGAGCCACAGCTGGGGTGGGTCCCAGACTCAGGATGTTAAATATTGAGTAATTTACTTGTTGATCGGCACTTCTGCATTCCTCCTTTGAAATGTACAAGAGCCACTGCTGGAATGCGGAACTCAGCCTGGGGCTGCACACAGCGTGCCAGCTTTGAAATGTACAAGAGTCCCCAGCACGGGCTCTTCTGCATTTCAAAGCAGCAGCACTCTCATGGAGCCCGGGGCATTTTCCCAGCTGACCCCAGGCTCTGTGCGCTGGAACCTGGGATCAGCTGGGGAGTCCCCATTTGTCCCCAGGCCCCATGCAAACGCCACGGTGGCGTTTCAAAGGGGGAAGTGCCACACAGAGCCCAGGTATGGGCTCCATGCGGTGCTGCCGCTTTGAAGTACTCCCTCTCTACTGCACTTTGCTGCCTCTATCTGATAGAGGCAGCAAGGGTGGGGGAAATAGACTAGTCGACTCAACTATCCGATAAGCATTTGCTTATCGTAAGCTGGGACTGAGCTGAGCTGCTGGCCAGCCTGCTAAAAAATTTCCTGGCAGGGTAGAGGGAAAATGCATGTAGTCTACAGTATTAACCTATACACTTTTTCTTATCCGTTAGTCAGTTAATTGACTACACTACTACATCCCTACCCTCAGCCCACTCTTTCACCATGCCACGTACCCACCAGCAGCCCCCTCCCACACAGAGGCCTTCAGTTTTGACCCCACCACAGAGCCTAAGAGGGCCTTGGGCCCCCCAGAAGAGTTAAGCCGGGGGAGGGGAGCCCTGACCCTTGGCATCGTCCCCAGGGCTGAAGTGGGGAGGGGAGCCTTGGCACTGAGTTACATGCCCTCACTCGCGGGTCCCTCCGTTTTTTCTGCTGCTGAGTTCGGGCCACATCCCTGAGGGTTTTCTTTTTAGTTTTGCTTTGCCTGGGGCCCCGCCCCGACTGATATTTCTGTGGGTCAATGGCCCCGGCCCAAAACAGGCTCCCGAAAGCAGCCGCGATTCCCTAGCGCAGTCCCTGGGGTAACAGGGACTCGGGTTACAGCTCCCCCAGCGCCGGGCCCCGG